CCTGGCCCTGGAAAATTTTTTAAAGAGGGGCTTCCTTTATTACTATTTAGTCAGCCAGTAGAAAATATAAATACTTTGGGAGTCAGCGAGATAGCTCAGAGGTCTAAGTGCCTGCTTAGGCAAGCTTAGGCAAAACGCAGGGACCACAGTTCAATCCCCAGCACCACATGCAGCACCAGCCCCAACGCCAGGGTGGGCTGAGCCAGCCACAAAAAAAAAGAAACAAAAAAGAAAAATATGGATATATGATTCTTTCCTACCATTTACCACTTCTCAAGAAACTACATAGGTGCCCTATTATACCAATTTGGTTTTGTTTTAAGATATAATTATGGGTTTAGAGATTGGAAAGGTTTGGAAAAGTCACCTGAAATAGCAGAGCTGAAATGCCTTACACTGTTCTGTATGGGAGATCCTGGTTAGAGCTCAAGACCACAAGGCTGACAGAAATCTTTCTGGCAAAGACCAGGCTCAGGAGAGCTCTGCTGGAAAGGAGGACTACAATGGCTGCTGGACTCCAAATGATGTGTGCTATGGCTTGGCAGGTTTGCCTGTATTTAGCTTGTGTCCAGAGACTGTGCCTGAGTCTGTGATTAAGGGCAGTGGACTAATTAATTGGCAGGAGAAATTTCAAGGCAGTTCAGTGTTGAGGCTGGGTTATAGCTGATGCTGGGAGCTTTGAGCAAGATGTACACTGAGAACCAAGAACAAAGAGCTCAGCGCGATGACCTAAAATGTTGTGAATTTGGCAGAAATGAAGGTCTATAAAGCTGTAGACTACAAAGGCAGAGTTGAGGAGATCTTGACTGCTGAAGAACAGAATATAAAAGGTGGCTGAGGACATCACAATCAGCAATGAGTCTCCACCTCTTGCAGCTTCAAAACTGTAAAAGTGAAAGACTTTGCTTTGGAGGAAGCTGGAGAGTACTATGTTCTAGAACAGCAGTGGCAGCACCCATGTTCTAGAACGGCAGCATAGAAAATTTTTTCTTCAGAATTGCATTCAGAATGCCCAACAATCTAAGCAGCTGATCTTTACAGCTAAGAGAGAGGAAAGCCTGGCTACTCCAGCTGGTAGCCCACCTTGGTATCATCCACATGATGCTGGTCTTAGATACATGCAGAAATGCAAGAGTTGTGAGGTTACAAAGGCTTTCAACTTGATTTCAGAAGGCCTGGGAGGCCTGACAGTGTGCTCCTAAGAGGGCAGTGTGTGAAGCTGTTAGTGTGATGCTAAAGGTGCAGTGGCGAACCCAAAATCTGGAAAAGCCAGGAATGTGGATTATCTAAGGAAAGCTGTAAAAAGGGAGCAAAGCAGGCCTAAGAGAAAAGCCATGGGAACTGTAACCACCAGAAGTGCCATGGCCTGAAGTCACTCAAGCCCTTTCAAGTTCACAATTTGCCACAGATTGCTTCAGACGCTGGACATGGAACTGCAGGACTTAATGTTTGCACTGCTGGATTTGAGACTTGCTTTGGTCCTAATCCTTTGTATTCTCCATTTGTAACTTTTGGGATGAAAATGTTTATTTTTGTGCTGCTGAATGTTGGAAGTTTTTCCTTTGTACTGGGGCCTGCAACTAAGAACTTGCCTTACATCACGGAGATTTGGGACTTGAACTTTTCAGCAGTGCTAACACTATTAGGGCTTAGGTACCTCTTACAGATGGACTAAATGCCTTTTACAAAAAGGGATGTGCATGAGTCTTTGGAAGGTCAGGAACAAAATGTTATGATTCTAATGTAATATAATGTTGGTAAGCTTAATACTGTTCTTAAGGATTTTGAAACCTGTTATAATGTTCAAGTTGTGAAATGTAAGAATAAGAAAGTCTTTGTATCTTGAAACTGGTTTAAACAAATGTACCTGGTTGCCAACTTGACAAGGGGTGGATTGTAATGGTTAACACATTGTGGCAACTTGAGAAGTTTAGAATTAACTAAGTAACTCAGCAGTTCTACATCCTAGGGTGTAGAGGACATACCCTTAAGGCTCTAAGATTTTGTTCACTGTGTAACCTTGAAAAGTTTAGAAGTTTATCTAAGTGACCCAGCAGGGGGCCAGGGTCCTCACTTTGTAAACATCCTGAGCCTCTGCAAAGGGAGAGAAAGGAGATGATGAGTGCTAAACCTGCCACAGGATAAGTGGCAGTATAAGGCAGGAAAACAAGCTTGCCTCCCGCCCACCTTTGTTCTTGTTGTTTTTGCTGTCTCCTGCTGCCTCGAACTGTTGCTCTTACACAACACCACCCTACCTTGGAGACAAATAATTATGGATTGAAACCTCCACAAATTGTAAGCTAAATAAACTTTCCTTTCTCAATTTGAGGCACTGGGTATCTTGTCTCAGCAACGAGCGAAAAGTAACTAAGAAATGGGCTTAAACATATTTGATAGGTTTCAACTAACTGAAATGCTTTCTAAAAATATTTTAAAAATTTTAACATTAGGAATTTTAAATTTACAGAAAAACTGAGTTCATAGTGTACCTAGTTTCCCCTATTGTTAACATTACTATAGTTTATATATCACAACTAATGATCCAATATTGATACAATATTGACAACTAAAATCCATATTCTTGGGGCCAGGGAGATGGCTCAGTAGAATAAG